GAGCTTCTTAACGAGCCGAACATGAGCTGCTCGCGAACAACAAGCCGTTTTGACAGCCCTAGCAGGAGCACGCCCGGAGGTGTAGGAAAGACTAAACAAAAAGCTGATAAGGAAGATCAGAGAAGGAAAATAACAGATTAAAGCAGCAGGCCCAATACATTTCCAACTCGGACATACTTCTGATGCCACTGATGTGGGCATATCGACTCCAATTGACCGATGAGCCGAGTTATATCCTTCACCGAGCAGGGGCGTCGTGGAGGAAGAGAGCGACAAAGAGACAGCCGAAGAACAGGGTCAGCAGTACCAGATCCAGGGAGATGAGGGTGAGATGTTCGTTGTGAGGAGGGAGTTGTAGACCAAACCCCAGAAGGACACGTGATAGAGGCATAGCATCTTTCGCGCCAAGTGCTATGAGAGGGAAAGTGTGCAGTATCATTATTGATGAAGAGAGCCATGAGAATGTGGTTTTCTTTATTATGGTGAACAAGTTGCACCTGGCTACACAAAAACGCACCCAGCCTTATTCTATGACCTGGTTGAAGAAGGGTAATAAGATACAAGCAAATCCACAGTGCCTAGTAGAGTTTTCCATTGAAAACCAACTAAAAGATCAGGCGTGGTATGATGTGTTTATGGATACTTGCCACATTTTCCACAAAGTGTGTTATGAGAGGGAAGGTGTGCAGTCCCATTATTGATGAAGAGAACTGTGAGAATGTGGTCTTAGCTATTATGGTGAAGAAGTTGAAATTGGCTACACAAAAACACACCCAGCCTTAATTCTCAGACCTAGTTGAAGAAGGGTAATAAGATACAAGCGGATCCGCAGTGCCTAGTAGAGTTTTTCATTGAAAACCAGCTACAGGCTCAGGTGTGATATGATGTGTTGTCTATGGATACTTGCCACATCCGATTGGGAAATCTGACAGTTCGATCACAAAATTCAGCATAACGAGTTCAAAAGCGCTTACCCATTCACGAAGGAGGATAAGTGCATCATTCTCTTGCCTATCAAGGATTCTAGAAGAATATACATGCATGTCGTTGAGAAGTCTGTGATTCCACATGCCACCTTCATGCAATCAGTACGGGAAGCTCCAATAAAAGACCTTGGTTGTCATAGAAGATACTAAAGAGGAGATGGAGCAACCATAAATGATCTTACCACTAGTAGCCAAATTTTGAGACATGATGATCGATATTCTACCAGAGGGTCTACCCTGCTTAGGGATATTCAACATGCCATTGACCTTCTTCCGGGATCGATGATATCAAACACATCTGCCCGCATTGAGATAAGCAGATTATGAGATGTTGCAACGACAGGTGCGATCTCATCACGAGGGGATTAGTACGAGTGAGAGCATCCGTTCATATGTTGTTCCTGCCTTGCATTGATAGTCGATCTATCAACAATATAGCCATCAACTACAGACTTCCCATACTTCACTTGGATTGTCGATTGTACAAATTGCATGGAGTTGTTATATTCTCTATGACCGACCAACACATCAGATATTACTAGATAAGGTTGAGGCCACAAGATGAGAGGATGACGACCTTCAAGACCAAAGATAGGTCGCACCTAGAACGTTCATGAGGCTAATAAACAAGGTGTTCCAAGTTTACAGTGGGAAATTCATGGTTGTTTATTTCAACAACATTCTTGTCAACAACTGTTAGGATGAAAAATACTACGGCAGTTGGGACTGGTTTTCAAGGTTGTACAAGCAGAAAAACTATATACCCATTCAAAGAAGTGTCACACTTCCTGACACTCAAGGTATTTTTTTTTGAGTTACATGATATCCAGTGTTATTATTCAAATGGATCCTACGAAAATCAAAGCCATCAAGAGTTTGACACCCACACAGTCATTTACTGAGCTGAGATAGTTTTTGGGGTTAGCAACGTTTTACAGGAGGTTCATCGAAAGCTTCAGTGCCATCACAACTCCGCTGACAAAGTTGTTGAAAGGAGAAGTTCCATTGAACTGATGTAGCCCAATCTAGTTCTGACACTTTGAGGAGGTGGCACAAACCCCAGTGCTAGCTTTATCGAATTTTAGTACGTTGTTTGAGGTGGAGAGCAACATGCCCAATGTGGGGATAGAAGCAGTGTTGAGCTAAGGAAGACATCTCATAGCTTTCTTCAGTGAAAAGTTGAACGAGGCCATGAGAAAGTATTCGATGTACAAAAGGAAGTTATGTCATTATGAGAACTCTTATTCATTGGAATCACTACTTGCTGAAGAGTGATTTCACGCTATTCACGGATCACAAAGCCCTGAGATTCTTGAAAGGGAAAAACAAGTTGAAGAGCATACATGCTACTTAAGATAGAATTCTTAGTATCATTCCAGTTCATGCTCATACATAAGGCTGGAAGTCAGAATCGAGTAGCCGACACATTGAGTCGTTGCCACTTGTTAATCACTTCCATGCAAGCACGAGTTGTGGGATTTGAGGTAGTGAAAGAGTTGTACAGGGCAGATTAAGTTTTCAAGAAAATTTGAGAATAATATTAGGAGAGGCTCATGGGACCATACAACAAAAAGGATAGTTATTTGTTCTACCAGAGCAAGTTGTATGTTCCTAGATGTTCGCTAGGAGAAGCCATCATCCAGGGGAGTCAGAGTGGGGGACTAGCCAATCATCAAAAGCTTCAGTACCATCACAGCTATGCTGACAGAGCTGTTGAGAAGAGAGGTTCCAATGGATCGGGGTACACAGTCCAGTTTTGATACTCTGAAGGAGGAGGTGACGCAAGCCACAGTGCTAGTTTTACTGAATTTTAGTAAGTTGTTCAGGGTGGAGTGTGATGCGCCCAATGTGGGAATTAGAACAGTGTTGAGCCAAGGAAGACATCCAATAGCTTTCTTCAGTGAAAAGTTAAGAGGTGGAGCAGTATGTCCAATGGAGTAGAGTTTGTCACCTAACCAAGGCTCGAGGAAAAAACACAGGGTTATACATGTCATTACCAGTACAAGAGCCCCTTGGGTAGATGTCAATATGGATTTTGTGGTGGAATTCCCAAGGATGTAGCAAAACAAAGATTTAGTGAAGGAAGTGGTTGACATATTCTCGAAGATAGCATATTTTGCATCGTGTCATGGGACGATGGACGCATCTCATGTTGTTGATTTGTACTTTAGGGAGATCATAAGGTTACATGGGATCCCTAAGACCATTACATCTAATAGGGATGTCGAGTTCATGAGTCACTTCTATAGAGCTTGTGGGGAAAGCTTGGCCTAAGCTTCAATTCAGCTCGGCAGCCCACCCACAGATAGATGGCTAGACGAAAGTGGTGAACAATACGAATGTCAAGGCCAGAGTGCTTCATAGGAAAGAAAATCAAGTAGTGGCACTTGATTCTAGCCCAAGCTGATCCATGAGTCAAACTACGACATGTACCCCATTTTAGATTGTGTATGGGCACAATCCACTCACTCCAATTGAGCTAATATCAATTTTTACTATGTCAAAGTTTAGTACGGATGTTGAGAGATTCAAAGGCTACACGAAGAGGTTGGAAAAAAGATCACCAAAATGAATCACAAATACCAGGCACAAGCCAATATATCAGAAAGAATGTGGCTTTCTAGGAGGGAAATCTAGTGTGGATTAGTTGAAGAAAGAAAGACTTTTGACGAGGTCATTTGAGAAACTCAAGACCAGAGTAGACGGACCATTCTAAATTCTTAAAATGTTGAATGAAAACGCCTACAGGATCGACTTGCCATGAGATTATAACATTTATACTACCTTCAACATTACAAACTTGACTTCATAACACAAGGAAACAAAAGCTTCAACGAATGAGGTCGAAGCTCCCACAACCCCGATAGATTGACGCGGATGTGGAAGCGCTTGATAGATGTCTGGCCCTTTTAGCAAATCTCGGACCGGTATAGGGTGAAATTCTTCAACAATCAGAGCAAGCTAAAAAGCAGATACGATTCTTGGGTGAAATTCTTAGCGTCATTCCAGTTCATGCTCAAACATAAAGCTGGAAGTCGGAAATAAGTAACTGATGCATTAAGGGTGGTCTGTTTGGCGCAGCTGTGGATTATTTATAATCTGCTGATAAGCAGATTATTATGATAATCTGATAATCTGCAGATTATCAGAATAAGCTGGCTTGCTGTTTGGGGCAGCTTATTCAGACCAACTTATTGGTGGTTAAATGACATTCATGCCCCTGTTTGAATCAAAACTGTTTGGGGCAGCTTATTCAGAATAGCTTATTGTTGGAAAAGAAACATATAGTGCAGAAACATACGATAATCACAGATTTTTTCTAAAAGATACCATACAGTTCTCACAACTTAATGAGTACCAGAAGAACTAAAAAAAGGACAAATACAAGTACAACAACAAGGAGAAAAATTAAAATATTCAACTTAAGACTCTGGCTACGCCTGTCCTCATCTCCACTGTCAGCCGGAAAAAACATCGGATTCACATGACTGCTGGCATGACTACTGTCAGTGTAATATGAGGGACTATCGGCCCACCTGAAGAAACCACAACGGGCTGAAACACCCCTGGCACAACCATAGAACTGCCTCCCAAAGCTATGCTCCTTACGTGACGTTAGCAACGGAGACGGTAGTCCACAATAACACAAAATCCCTCTGTCTGTACTTGATATTCTGGAGGTCATGTTGGTATAACTGTGAAAATAACAAAAGAATGAAATGTCAGCTTAAGGTATTTAAAAAAAAAAACATAATTAAATGGGTATGAATATAAACCTAAAATCTTATGAAAAGAAAACTTGGTTGATCAATAGCCACAAATAGCATCTGTGATAGACTCCCTTAAAGCAATCATATCAGCCAAACTATCAGCATCTTGATCTTCAAAATCATTAGATTCTATGTCCTCCTCAGGTAATGAATGCCCCCCCACATGTCCTGTTGGTTGCTCTAAAATATTGAGTTCATCATTGTCAGCCATACTGAAGTCTGTATCTGATTGCGAGGAATGTCTTCGGATGAAGTTATGTAGTGCCATTGTTGCAACCACAATGTACACCTGCTTTTGGAAAGGATACGACGGCATATCACGTAAGATGACCCACTTCTTCTTCCAAACTCCAAATGTTCTTTCAATTACCCCGCGTAAAGATGAGTGGCGTTTATTAAACATTTCCTTTCTGCCACGAACCGTGCCACTAGCTCGCTCAAAATCAGGAAGATGATATCTCGTGTCCGAGTAGGGCTTCAGGTATCCCCGTTGCATAGGATATCCTGCATCAACCAGATAATATTTTCCTGGTACGAGAAACAATGTTAATAAAAAATTGCACAATCCCACATATTCAAATTACTAAACAAAACTAACCTGCTGGGGGGTGAGGGAAACACTGCGATCTATTCCTCGTGGCAAAGGAGAAAATGGGGGTCGACCGACCTTCCTAAGTTCGAAAAGTGTCGACCTTAAAGAGTGGGTCACTCCTTAGTTGCCTAATAGTATTATATGTTGTTTTGTGTGTTCTAGGGTTATCATGTGTTTTTTGTTTCCTGTCGAGAGCTTGGTGTCTCTGGATTTTCCCTATAAGGGTTGTAACTGACGGTGAGAAAGTGCTCCAATTGTAACTTGTCATAAGATGGTGTGTATCTTTCATTCCCTACATCCTCACAACCCTTCCTACCACTGCTCTCCTCCTCCTCCAGCCTGTCGTCCCTTATCCTCCCTTCTGTCGGTTGCATGCCTTATTGTCTGCTCAAGACTAGCTTGATTCCAATACTACTTTGTTGTCCTGTCGGCAGCCTCCCACCCCGTCCCACCCCCTTCCACCAAAACCGACATCTCCATGCCCTATCCAACAACCACCTCACCATCACAGTCCTGCTCCTCTCAACTCCCCCATCTGCAACCATCCCCTTCAACCCAACGCAAACCAGCCACCAGCCCTATCGCTCCCCTATACTTTATCCCTAGTTCCAGACCCCAGGGTGATATCGGATTTAACCCAAACAACGGGAAATACAACTTTACTGCTAAAATCAAATAGGGGTTACAATAAACAAATAGAGAAATAGGAAATAAAAAAAGACAAAGCACAAACACCAAACTATGGCTTAGGTTGAGGGTGGTGGGAAGGCTGCGGTACGGCGGCTGCGGTTGGGGAAATAGAGGGTTGGAATGGGGATGTGGCAGCAAGTTAGGTAAGGTGGCTGGCGGTTGGCTGCCATAAGGAAGGTGAAGGCTATCAGTAGGGGAAAAACAAAAAGGAGTGGATAGTTGGCGGCAAGAGAACAACAGGAAAGAGGGGCTGACTTGCGACAAAGGTCTGTAAATGGGTGTCACAAGCCAAAGGGGGGCAAGAAGGAGAAGTAGATGAATAATAAGTAGCTGCAGGAAACTGCAAGGAACGAAGGAAAGGGGGTAAGAGAGGTTTTGGTGGCTCTAGGAACTGCAAAGGTGCTGTGCTTGGGATGGCTGCAGTAGCTACGACAACGGTGGCCACGACGACGACAGAAGGTTGCGTGGGATGAAAATTCAAAGATAAATATGCTCTGGAACTAGGTACAGCTGAAGCACCTCTCAAACCTTAAGAGCAAATCACCACCTCAGAACAAGACTCGCCCTTGGATACATTTCTAGAAGAAAAACAGTGGAGGTCAACAACTTTCCTGATGGAAAACAAGACAAAAACTCGCCCTAAGCACCAAGAAAACAACATATCTAGTACTAGGTAATAAGAGGGAGGCCCACTCCTCTTGGGCGGCAGCCCTGAATCTTTATGAGGGCTGGTTGGCCCCTCTTTTCCTTAACTGGTTCAAACATTCACCAATCCAGGCAGCCCTATACTACCAAGTCTACATACCTGTGGTAGACACTCCACGTCAGTCTCCTCGGATTAAGAGAACTTGAACCTCATTCATCAAAGTTTTTATTTGCATGTTAAAGGTGACGACACTGTTATAACCTCCTGGCGCTGAAGGATTTTCAATTACAGCCCTAGAAGTAACAAAATCCTATTGTCGCCGTCACTGTCCCCCAAAACACCCGAGTTATCTCCACATGCGAGCAGTCATCCATAATGGTCCAACCAGATGATAGTCTACTGCTAAACTGAATTGGAACTTCATGCCAAGTGTGCCCTACAAAATCTTCCAAATGTAGCCCCAAGTTGGTTCATCCCAATCTAATGTGACGGCAGGTTGCACTCCCTCTAACAGTGGTGGTCATGGTGATAAGGTATCAATCATAATGTCCTTAAATGTTCTCTATAGTGATTGTATCGTGTTCCGAATCAGTGCCTTTGTTCCGCTACCTCTATCATCACAAAAACTAATCTTGTTGGCGCTTTGCTGCTGGTAAGAACACTTGTAGTATCAAACTCCACAGAAGAGAACAATGTGCTTTCCATACTTGGTGAATGAGTATCTGTTCTTGCACCGGTCATGTTGAGTCATACGATCAAACTGCCACAGTCTCCCCAACATAACCTGGCATACATCTATAGACACCACGTCACATCACACCTGATCTTGCAGTTGATTCTTAATTGAAAACTTTACGAGACACCTCCTATCAAGACTGACTCTATTATTTCTTCAACCACGTCAGGGAGTACGGTTGGGATTGCCTCTACGTCGTGAGACCAAACTTATCCACCATCTGTGTAGATGCCGCATTCCCGTTGCTCTCTCTATCGATGATGAGGCTGCATACAATTCCCTTTACAGTACAACAAGTGTAGAATATGTTATAGCGAAGCTACTACTGATCCCTCACAGGCTCGGTCAGTAGGACTCGTCTAACCATGAGCATCTCACCCTCATCCGATGAAAGAATGTATTCCTCACAATTTTCTTCAATACTCTCTTCATCACTAACTTCCTTCACTGCACCTTGCTCAGTAAAGGACATAACTCAGCTTGTCTGGCAACTGAAAGTGATGTCCAAAATCATGGCATCTAAAGCATTTCCTGGCTGAAATTATATAGGGAGTGTTTCTCCTCTTAGACTTCTTCTCAATTTCGACAGCTTTATCATTCTCCTGCCCAGACTTCTCAATTGTCTTAAGTATGCTCGTACTAATATCTCCAACTATGAGTGGTTGTCTGAATGACGATGGGTGTCTGTTCTGCTTCAGTTATCTTTTTACCTTTAGTACTAAGGTTTGAACATCACTCAAAGACTAGTAAGACAGTAGTTGAATCACATTGCTAATGACAGACTCCATGCCTCTCAAGAACCTAGCTATCGTGTGTTCCTTTGGCTCCATTAGATCACATTTCAGCTTAAGCTGCATACACTCCGCTTTGTACTCCACTAATAGGTCCCTCTGTTGTAGGTAGAGAAGCCTCAAGAAAAAATAATGACAGTAATACAGAGATAGGTGCTGTCGTTGCAACTCTCTTTTCATATTCTCTCAGGTAGTAATATCTCCGTCCTATATTTCTCTCCCTCTACAGATTCTCCCACCCTAATGAAGCGCTCTTCTTCATCTTGATAGCAACTAGCTTCACTTTTCGGTCATATGACACATCATTGTATTCAAAAACCCGTTTAACGATCTACAACCACTCTATGAAGTCATCCAGATTCATTCTCCCCTTAAACTCAGGTATGTCCACTTTCACTCCTAAGCCTCTGTATTCTTCAACATGCACTACATCATTGTAACCTCTAACAGGCACTTCATCTATGTATCCCCTAAAAAACACTTAAACTATGTATCCCCTCACGAGCACTTTATCTTTGCATCCCCTAATAGGCACTTCATCCATGTATCATCTAATAGGCACTTCATCTCTCGATTTTCTCCGATGTTGTATCCCCAAGCATCGTAGTCTGCCTTCTTCTCCACTAGAAGCATCCTTATGGAAGAGATTCAGGTGATCCTCTCTCTCCTCATTGGATCTCGTTACCATGCTCGACAGTGACCTCTCCCTGAGTCGATAGCTCTAGTTCAGCAAGTTATAGCACTCGGTGAAATTCTTGTTGTATCTCATCCATGATAAACCCCTGATCAAATTTCGGACATTCCCTCCTCCACGGCATGATTAGGCTTGAGTGTGAGTAGGTGGAAGGAAATGTGGGGCTACTGTAGCATGGGTAAGAAAAAATTTGGGTGGAGATAGGGTTGAATATAGGCAGGTGCTAGAAACTATAGAATATGACTAGGGTTAACCTAGCTCTGACATCAAATAATACCAGAATGAACCCCCAAATAACAACGAGAAATGCAAGTTTATTACTGAAATCAAATAGGGGTTACCAAAACCCCATAAAAATAGGAAATAGCAAAAGACACAATACAAACGCCAAACTAGGGCTTAAGTCGAGGATGGTGGGAAGGTTGTAGTAGGGTGGTTGCGGTTGGGAAAATGGAGGGCTAGAATGAGGATGCGGCAGAAAGGGAGGTGAGGTGACTGGCAATTGGGCTGCAACAAGGAAGCGAAAAACTGGCGGCAGGCGAATAGAAGGAAGGGATGGTTGACGAAAGGGGAACAACAAGGAGGGGATGCCAGGAGGCAAGGGAACAACATGAAAAAGCAGTTGACTGGCGGCAAGTGTTTGGAAAGGGGTGTTGCAGGCCAAACAAAGACTGAAATGGTTGGCCTCAAACAGGAGATGCAGCTTGATGGTAAGCAGCTGCAAGAAACTGCAAGTAAGGAAATGGGGTAGGGGAGGCTGAGGTGGCTACATAAACAACAAAGGTGTAGTCCTTGGAATAACTGCAATAGTTACAGTGATGATGGTTGTAGAGGGAAGGATGGGGAGGATAGGAAGTCAAAAGAAATACCCCCTCTGGAGGTACAACCAGAGCACCACTCAAACCTTGAGAGTGAATCACCACCTCGAAATGAGATACAACCGGAACACCACTTGCCTTTGGATACTACAGCCCTAGAAGAAAAAACAATGGACGTAATGGTTGTCTTAACATAAAACACGACAAAAACTCACCCTAAACACCAAGAAATTACATATATAGTACCAGGTAAAAAGAGGGGGCCCCACTCCTCTTGGGAGGAAACCCTAAACCTCCAGGAGGGTCGATCGGCCTCTCATTTCCCCTAGCCAAACCGGTTTAAGTATCCACCGATCCAGGCAACCCTATGTTGTCTCGTCCAGCACAATTGCGAGAGATGCACCGCGCCATTAGGTGGGCCCATTAAACCATAAGTAAGCCCTATAAACCTATAGAGCTTGGTAGTTAACAATGCAGACTAATAAATTCATTTGAAACCCAAAATATTAGAAAAAGGCAATTAGTGGTTTTCACTATGTTGTCGAGGATTTTGGGAGTTTTCGGGATGAGTTGGAAAGAAAAATAAGAATTTATGTTTGATTTAGTTGATGTTAATTAAATGTTTTATTAATCTTAATAATTAATATTAATTAACTAAAAATATATTAATTTAAACACTTAATATTATTTATGATTTAATATGAAATGGTAAAAATTTTTATGTTTAACTAACTTTATAATTTAGGCAAATTTATTTACGTGCCACCCAATTCTTATGCATTCACATATCAGACACCTATACTTCAATTTTTACGTACAAGCCACCCTCCTTATGGCCAAAAGTTAGAGATGGTTGGCCTGTACATAAAAATGGAAGTTTAGGTGTCTGATATGTGAATACATAGGAATTGGGAGGCACGTAAATAAAGGTCCCTATTAATTATTAATTAATAACTACAATATTAGCTAATATTATTTGTAATTCAAATTCTGTAATTGGAATTAATAGCAAATTTATTAAATAAGATTAGTAATATTTAATCAAGTAAATTATATATAGATATTAAAATTAGAAAAATTAAATAATCCTTAATAATTAATATGAATTAATTAAAAATAAATTAGCTTAAGTAAATTAAAATTATGTCTAGCAAAATTGGTCGAGATAGAAATTATTGCTTAATCTGCTTAGTAAATTACTAAATAGTAATTAATAAATATTAATAATAAAATTAATTATGACTTAATTATTTTAATTAAGGGCTTTAATGGTCCACATAAATATAATAAGATATCACAATCATATAAATCCTTCAATCTTAAAATGAGTAGCCAAATAGTTTACTTGGATTTAATTTAATTTAAAAGGTATCATTACAAACAATCTTTCATAATTTAACCTTCATAAGAGTTATAAAAACTGGATTTACAGGATTTATTAAATCCTGCTTGAGTTGAATTCTATTTGCAGCCAATTAGCAGCTTAGGTTCAAATTTGGTCAAATCAAACCGCATATAGTTTTAATACACCAAATGATTATGTGATCGTAATGTTAGGTCGCTCGTTAATCAGCTAGGGATGAGCTAATCTGATATAAGTTACAATTAGGTTGATATTCATGCCACATTTTGTCAAAACCTACACCATTTACAGGCCTCTACTTATTCAATCTATAAAATATCAATTCTAGGGATAAGCTTCACTGCAACTACAGACTAATCTTCAGTCATTCAGTATTAATCAAGAAACAATGCAAAACCATATCGTGGTGAAGCAACTAAGGATGAGATAGCAGTGAGGAACTAAACATAAAGGGCTATTTTCAAATTTTAACTGAAAAAAATAAGCCCTAAAAACTATTTCTCAATTTCATACTTCATGAATAGGACTTCTATTATATCATAAGCCAGAAAATCAAAAATAGAAGTCAACATGCTAAAACACACATTGGTAAGTTAAAAAGCCAAAAAGGGCACAAAACTTATTGTCGCCATAAATAATTTGCTAGAAATCTTAAGTTTCAAGAAATTCAACTGATAGAATTAATCGATTTGCCTATATTCCTACTTAAATTGCATGATTACCTTCCTGCAGGTAGACATTGGGTCTTCGGAGTAAAATGGTGGGTAACCAACAAGCATTTCATACATAATTGCACCAAGAGACCACCTGATTAATATAAGTTCACAATCAGACAAACCGAAGGAAAGGAAAAGAAAGAAGAATCATGAGAAAAAGATAGCTATATGAGAAAATTAAGAACCGACCAATCACACTCCATGCCATATCCTTTTTTCAGCAGAACTTCAGGTGCAATGTAATCAGGTGTTCCCACAGTTGAATAGGCCTGCTTCCATATAAGGAAATGTAAGTAAGAATGCCAATCAACAATCCGATATATTCTTTGAACAAAAAGGGAGAATAGTGAACATTAGCAATTCATGAATATACTTTGCCCATTTCTATTTCAAAAGTTTGAAACTCGGAACAGGCAATAAACATAAGAAACAGAACAAAGACAAGCGGTGGAACATAGTATTTAACCAAAATTAAAAGCAAAAAAAACGTAGTGGCAATTCTCTCAAAAAGGCTAGACAAACTACATTTTAATGAAACATTAGGCACAATGCAGAATTTTTAAGGGAAATTTTTAGTTGACTTTCTTTTTTTTATTTTTTATTTTTTATTTTTTATTGTGCTTTAGCAAATTGTTGAGACCAAACCCAACTAGCATCCGAGTCCAAAGTAAGTGATGAAAAGATGCAAAGGCAAGAAACCTAAATTTGAAGATCATGATTTGCATGGCAATGCAGACATATTACCAGCATCCGTCTATTCTTTTGCCAATGTAATAACTGCTCCTGTTGTGTACGCTTTGGTGCAGTAGATGTGCTCAAATGCTTATGACCATCTAATGGAGCCTTGGTACCCACTCCATGATCAGGCTCGGTCAGGTTTGGAAAGCTACTACTATCCAAAGGTTTGCACAAACCAAAATCTGACAGCTTCATATGGCCATTTCGATCTAACAATAAGTTATCTGGTTTAATATCCCTGTTGAAAATAAACAGACCATATTCTGTGTGATTACACTTGAATGAAGTAGTGGGGGGAGAATAACAATTTCTGAAACATTAGTACCTATGTATGTAATTGTGTTTATGTATAGATTCAATGGCCAATACAGTCTCCGCAACATAGAACCTGGCCTCATCTTCTGTTAAGGTGTCCTTGCGCATCAGTAAAGTCATCATGTCACCTCCAGGAAGATACTCCATTATAAGATACAAATACTCATCATCTTGGAAAGAACAATAGAGTTTAACAATACAGGCACTATCAACCTCTGCAAGAAGATTCCTTTCAGCTTTAACATGCTCTACCTACAAAACAGATGCATAAAGTTCAGCTGCTTTCACGGAAAGCAATGAAGCAAAAGATGTTGAAGATACCTGTCCTCTTCTAAGCATCTCAGATTTTTTCAATTTCTTCATTGCATATACATTACCAGTACTCTTCTCCCTGCATAATCTCACCTGAATACAGAAGAAAAAAAAGATGCAAAGCTAGATAGTCTACAGGCCAGAATGCTAAATAGACATCAACGGCAAAAAACCAAGAAAAATTGACCAAAATATACACTACTTAAATCAAAAGAAATTAATTTTTTTAGCTATTTAACAATTCAAGCACTGAAAAAATACGATGAGATACAGGGACAAAATATTATATCTGGCAGTGTTGGCAACTGGAAAGCAACTTATAAGGGTATTTCTTCATGATAACAATTCAAACATATAAGTTACACAGCAAAGGGCGATTAAATCAATAAGAAAATTACCTAAGTATTACTTCAAGTCAACCATGAAAAAAGGCGTGCCAAAATTTAGTTAGCATGCAGGAAATTTATATTTGTCAGTTGATTACTCAAATCAGTATTATATCAGATCCTCAAGTCTATTGCATATTTTATAAAGTACTAATTGACAAAACGTTTCATTGACACAGAATTTGACGTTTTGAATGTACAGGGTGATCTGTCAAGTACTAAGAGATGAATGCAAATGATACAACAGAAACCAACTACAGAAAATGGAAGAAACAAAAGAATTACAGAGCTTTTGACAAATTCTTTTACCCAGGATCACCACAGGAGACAGAATGAACAAAATTCATGATTCATGAAAGAGCCACCTCTCAGAATTTAATTTCAACCCAAGTGGGAATAAATTAAGAAACAAAACAAAAATGAGGTTTAACCATGTCAAATCAAACTCAATAGGTTATATAGAGCTTAAAATATCAACATGGAATCAAAATGGGACCTTAATTAAAGCTAAATTCCTCTTAATTAATAAAATGAGATATGACCCAAATCAGCCAAAAAATTTAGGTTATTTAAATATTGAAGAAGTCAAAAACCAACTCAACAATTACAGTCACGTAAGTAAAACTTGTGGCCATATATTCAAGGAGTTTGCATGAGCCAAATACTAACTCCACAAATTAAGCCATGCATGAAGAAAATATACACAAAATTCAAAACAAATCTTTAAGAGACGAGCGGACAATCAAAGATAAAAATAAGTAAATATAGATAAATCTCCAAAACTCTGCCGACAAAATCAAGGGAAATAATTCCAAAGTCATATTCTGCTAAGAGTTGTTCGGTAACAAAAAAAGAAATGCATAGGTTTTGCATTTCAAGTTTTAGGCATGAGGCAAAATAAATTTCCATTTTCTTAAAATACCAAAAACAACGCTTCTCGGTGAAAGTGAAACTTGCCTAAATTGAACAATTTTTTTTCCTTGCTTCTGTACTCTACCTCTATTGGAATGGAAACCACTTCATGGAAACATAATCCATCATCTCAACTAATAATAGCGATAAAATCTAGTTCACCAAACAAGCAAAGACCCACTTGAGTTCGCCAATCACAAGGAAGAGCTCACTATAGAAGAAAGTGTATTTGCACTTAAGGCTCAAGCCACACATTGCAACAGATTGGGTCAAAGCGAGCACATTGAGCGCCCTAGGAGTACAATAGCAAGGATTTGGATGGCGGCAGCTAGGGATGGAACCATGTTCCTTAAGACAAACTTTGAGAAATTTAGGAAGAATTGCTTCAAGAACATGGCCTTAGAGATTGATATAAATATGACTGGACCTTGCAGGTTGACGTGGTAAAGCATTACAAAAAAAATAAGCATGTAAGCGAATGAAATTGGTGAATGAAGTGAGATATTTTGAGATGGATATAAAGAGATTAGCTAATGAAATAGAATTAGTTTCACCATATTTATTTTACTACCACAAGGTTGACTATGAGAAATTAGAATACACCATACATATTTTATTCTATATTCTCCAAATACATGGCAACCAAAGAACTCCTTTAGTATTTTTATTATCAAAATAAATATGATAATGATTTAGATAAGGAGTAATCAAATAATTTACGTAAAGTAGAGAGACTTGCTTACGCCACCTATGTTTAGGATGCCAACAACAAGCCTTTATCCCCCTAAGTGGGGTCGGCTACATGAATCATTTTCCTCCATCGCGTCCTATTGAGTGTCATATTTTCATTTAATTCTAATAAATTATGATCATTTTTTATATAACATGTTCAATTCTTTCTAGTTTTACCTCTGACTTTCTTAATATAGGTTGAATCTAAAACATCTACTATCCTAATCGGATCATCAGATAATCGACGTTTAATGTGACCAAACCATCTAAGATGACTCTGTATAATTTTGTCCGCCACTGGAGCTACACCAACCCTATCACGAATATATTCATTTCACATTTTGTCTCTAAGTGTAAAGCCACCCATCTACCTAAGCATTCTCATCTCGGCAACACTTAGGGCCCGTTTGGGGCAGCTTATTTGGTGCGGTGGCGTTTTGAAAACGCACCTGATCTGTTTGGGTAAATCGCGTTTTGACAGCTTATGCGTTTTCAAAGCGCAGAAAACAACATTTTCACACCTCACCTATCTAGTTGTGGTGGGAGCTTATTGGCAACGGTCTGACTTTTCAAAAAAATAAAAATTTGTAATAGCCACCACACCTAGCTTATCAACAGATTATTTTTAATCAGTTTATCAGCAGATTATTCAATAAGCTACAGCTGCCCCAAACAGACCCTTAACCTAAGATATATTTAAATTTTTTATCATTTTCAACTTTATTTATTATAGATCTAGATGTCCATAAATATAAATTGTAACAAGGCTTTAAAGCTAATGGAAACCAAGAGGAACAAATTCTCATTCGATTGACATTAGTCTTTCTTCCTAT